AGAAGAATTAGAGGCATACGAAATGCCACTGAAAAGAAAAATAATCAGACATGCCGGTCAACCTCAAGTAGTGAACTATATCGTCAACAAAAGCTTCTTATCTACGTCAAAAGATTATGAAACTGCCAAAGAGTTTGCCTTGCAAGCGGCCGGTCGGCGTACAAAAAACGGAGAATTGATCAAATTTCCAACAGTCTGCATCTATTGCATTCGCAGTGATAACCGTATTGCTCTTGATATTGAAGCCATTTCAGAATATGCGCATGAACGCGAAGTTCTTATTTTACCAGGACAAACGTTTGAAGTGATATCTATTCGTAAAAACATACAAACACCAGATGGTACATTCAATGAAATTCTCTTAAACGAACATATCAAAAACAAAATGAATAAGGAACTTTTTGCTGAGTTATATTGAAGTCTAGAAAAATAAACAATTTTCGTATAATTTTTTGTAAACCAGAACTGCCCATAAAATAGTGTGAGGCATGAGGGTGTGAGTGTCAGTTAGACACAAATACAGCCGCATCTACACCCACACTCACATTCTTCCCTACACCCCTGTCAATTTATTGTATTATTTATTTGTTCAATAAAATTATCAAAAATCAAATAAAAAAATAGTATACGAATTTCAAAATATTCAAAAAAACTCTTTTTATCTTTTTATTACTTACTTATTTACTCGTTGTTAGTTTTCTTACTTTTTATCTTCATCCCACACTCTTACCCTCATCAGCATTAGTCAATCTTTCGCGTTTCGAAATCAAATGATGACTCATACCTTTTTTATAAAGCATCTTTCCCTTCTTCTTTCTGCTGATAAGAGTTGCAAGATTTATTCTGCTCATATCATTCTTCTGTTATTTTTTTCAAACGTAAGTCGAGATGCTGAGAAGTGACTCAAAACAAAGCACATCATCTGTTCTTTTGGATATACCACCTCGCAAACAGTGGACCCACGGCCGTAAGTTTTCTGTTTCTTATTGCCTTACCATTCCCTTTCGCTTATGTTCTTCTAGACGGATACTGCGGCGAGACTGTCGTGCAAGCGTTCGGTAAGTTTTGTAAGTCTTTTTAACCCGTTCATACGATCTCGATCGAGTAGGTCTTTATAATGGCGCTTGGATATCACAACAAATCGTTCGAGATGTAAACAAGGGTGAATACTTAATACACCATGTGACTCCCGAAGACTACCAACAACGGCGATCATATGGAGGAGGAGATGGAGGTGATCCACTAGCCACACTCACGGCACTTAAATTTTCCTACATCGCATGGGATCATCAGAACGCATGTCAACCTCAATTTCCTGCCTATTGTTTGTGGATTAAACGATGTTTGCTTCAAGGTTTTCCCGTCATGTTTCGCACAAAATTTAATCAGTCCTTTGGTGGTCACATCATGCCGATAACAGGAATTGATTATTCGAACAAGACCACTTATGATGAACGGGATACCATTTACTATTACAGTCTATATAACGGGCAAATAATCAAGCAACCACTAAGTGAACTGGGCAGTGATCCAGCAGTACGACCTTTTTACTGCAACTGGGGTTGTATCCCTCTTGATGTAAGTATACGTCTTTACCAGTTTTCATTGTATAGTCTCGATATATTGGGTGTTACCAAAAAAATGGCCACTCAGTATTTTTCAATTATTTTCTAAGTCTGTACAAGTTTTGTATGCTCCAGCAGAATGTATCATCAGTTGTAAGCTTCGCATTGTCTAACATCCATACAAACGATTTTTGTTCTAACAGGAAGGAAGGACTTCGGTCTGAGTGTAACACACTAGGTACAGATCTGCAGTTATTTTCACTTATTCATTCAAAGGTATGCTGGGGAATCGCTATCAC